CGCAGAGCACCCGAGGAGAGTGCCTTGCCCTTCCTCGGGGAAACCGCCCCAGGAGCTGTGATAGCTCAGCCCCTGCACAACTGTAATCCCAGATGTGTCCCCTGGGAACCAGATCCCAGACTGGAGGGAGTGGGAAAAGAGGCAGGAGTATCCTCCCTGCCTGTTCGGGGAGGGGGTTGAAGGTTAGGGAAAGGCAGCTTGCTCTGTTCCCACACCACCCTAGGCCTTGACTGCTCCACACCTGAAGCCCAGCACTCCCAGGACCGATCCTGATCTCTCTGTCCTGGTGCTTGGGATCTCAGGCCAGCCCAGACACGTCCAGATATTTCTGGCCTCCCCCCAGTCACCTTTATCTGAGAGGAAATATTTGGAATTCCTGAGTCAATCACAAGGACTATGGTAGCAACAGCACGTCAGTGTCCCAGCCGCTCTCTCTCCCTGTGCCAGTGGGCCTCTTCACCCAAGGGGACGGGCTGTTCCACTGCTGAACACCCTGTTCCACTGCTGAACACCCGTCACATCCCCTTCCCACTCGGGGTGACTGACACGTCCCGGAGGAGGACGCTCTGGGGCAGATGATGAGGAAGCAGAGACGTTATTCCTACGCAAGAGGCCATCCCTTGCCTTGGCCTCTCCTCCCCAGAGCTGGGGAAGGAAGCACCGTTTTCTTGCTGGAGCCTAAACCAGCACTTGCTGGGGGAATTGGGGTGAGGGGGGTTTCTCTCCTTGCTCCACGTGCTTCTTGCACAAGGCAGAGGACCCGGAGAGTCAGGCTCCACCACACCACAGAGGTGGGGCAGGAAGGTTCTGCAGTGCCAAAGGTTCTCTGGACACTTGCAGTGCCCCAAATTGCAACCCAGCACCACGAGGGTGCAGCAGCCATTTAAACACTGCCCAGTGCCAACACACAAGAGAGGCAAGAGGAGCAGGTCTAACCTAAAGTGCTCTGTCTCGGGTGGGAGAGCAGATCAACAAAGCATGAGATCTGGCTGAGACAGCACTCACATCCTGGCCTGGGAAGTGGAACACCCATAATGTGAGGCTCTCACCAGTTTCGTTGGTTTCATTCACCAGTGCTGCCTGCACGGGAGGGAGAACAGTTGCTGGATCCCATTCAGAGTGAGCAGAGCAGGTTCCTCTTTCAAGATAAGCCCCAACACTTGGGGAAAGAGGATTCAGTGACATCAAGCCATGAGGGCAGGTGAAGGAAGCAGATGTGGGCAGTGAATCCCCATCTGGCCTCTGGTGAGGCGGGAGAGCAGAGAGGGGAGGGCTCAGAGTTTGGGGGCTCAAAGCCTGCCTTGCACAAGACACTGAAGGGTATGAAGGTAATTGAAAACACCAGTACAAAGCTCTGAAAACCAGTAGAGAAGAGCCAGGCACTACTGGGAGTATTCAGGTGAACTGGTGGCACTTGGTCAGACTTAGACATGGAAGCTCAGACCCCAGCAGGAGCTCTGGAGCTTCCCCACAGCTCCAGTACCCAGCCAGACACCCACAGCAACCACCTCAGCATGCACAGCAACCTTTCAGCAACCTTTCCCACTCAAGGATCCTCATGTCTTTTATAAAAAATGAGCTGATCCTCCAAAACCTCCTGTGGGATAAGTCAGCACTGTTCCCAGATGGATCAACAGAGATGCAGGGAGGTTAAATGCCTTCCCCAGAGCTGTATGCAAGCCAGCAGCGTGAGCCACAGCATCTGACTCCCAACCCAGGCATTCTCATCACGAGGCAATGTTTCCCTTGAAAACAAGGCTGTTTCTGTTTTACCTTCGCCGTAAGTACAGCTGTGTTCCTGCTCAGAGGTCTAAGCAACCGCCGGCCAGGAGCGGAGTCATCTGGATGACCAGACATTTGTTAATGAGATGCTGGGAACAGTTTTGTGCTGAGCAGAGAGACAAGGACGGAAAAAGAAAGGCAGCAGCTCAGCACAGACCACAACAAAGCCCTGCATCGACAGCAACCTGCTCCCAGAGCCCCCATGAGCTGCCAGCTCACCACATGGGACTGGCATATGCGAACCTGGAGGTGAAACACAGGGGGTAAAAGGCAGCTGAGAGCTCCAAGAACAAAAGAAAACATAA